ATGCTATTCTCCATCGGATTCATCATCGGCATGGTCATCCTCGCCACGGCGCCCTTTATTCCTCACTCGTGGCACATTACCGATTTCGTGGCCATCTTGCCTATGGCAACGGTCGCGGCCAGCCATCTGTTGTTGCCGCTGGCGTTGAACCCGGCTTTGATGACTTTCTCGTGGTGAGGTCGGTTGCAATGGAGTGGAGGCAAATGAAGGGAAACGTAAAGGAGGAACACACATTTCTGGAAAGAATTCTATGGAAGTAATAGGATCCGGTATACTACTAGAATGGGGATATATCACTTGGAACGGGGGTTGGTGATGGATCTAATGGATCTAATGTGTTTTTTTGGGTACATCTAACTGTGGATAATGTCACGAGGGAAAATACCAAATGAACGGGAACAACGATAAGTACATATGTAGAGCTTTTAAATCACTTTGGCTAGGTAGGATGTGGCGGAATATGGTACATGAATGCTAGAAGAATTTGAACCTACACCAGGGCAGTAATACACATAGCACATCGAGATGCGCTTGTACACTTCTACTTCACCAAGCCAAGTCCCGCAACCCAAATGATCTCGTATCCGTTTAACCTTGGCGAGTGTGGCTAATTGGCTTTTTATGGCCTAATGGAAACCACTATTGTGGCCAGTGAACGATTTGCCCTGCATTCGAGCTAGACTCAAGAGAGCGAGGCGCTTCTTGGGTGGCTTTGTTATGGCTATGGGCGCCTGTCGTGCAACAGCGATAGGTAATTCGTGCAGCAGTGTATCGTATGCCGTCCGCATGGTGTCGTTCATTATAAGGCTGAGGTGGGTCCGGGGGGAACGGCAACAACCTCGAGTGCTCTGGCGGTAGCGGTCTGGAGCGGGATGAATGGGTGGGTTGATAGAGTAGGTGGCGATTCATAGGTGAGATTAGCCCTGATTATGTGAATGGATCGTTGTTGTAGTTGTTATGAAAGCGGTGGTGATGGTGGTAGTGTGAAGATGTAAATCTGCCAAGGACAATTGCCAGTATCTCTATCTACTTACTACTGTGTCGGAGTCAACTACCAAGTCCCATAGTACTATACAAGTGGAGATAGATAGGTACTTTCCCGCCTTGCTTCATTCCTGTGCCCTTCTTTTATCGAGACTCAACAAGTTTCCGATGCCGGACTAGCAACAAACACATGCATTTACCGGACCTCCGGCTGCATCTCGCACACTCCCAAAAGCACATGCCCTTTACTTGGATTCTTGGTCTTTTCATGATCTAACTTGGCCACCTCTCCTACTGCTTCCAACTTTCTGCCTTGGGCATACACTGATTGTGCGTCGGGCAGGTACATAGAAAGCGCCGAAAATGAACGTGGCAGGAACATTGGAATCCAGATTTCGGACGCGCATACCTGTACTTACCTACCGTACATTGTACCCAAGAACTGGTAAATGCTCAAAGCAGGTGTCGGATATAGAGTTCATGTATCATCAAACCCGTTGAGAAAATCAAGTCACCAAGAGTTCTCATACTTTCAGGAATACCACAACGCACGTCGGTTGGCACCCTGATACTTCCATGGCGTTTGGCTTGGTGAGCTGTGACTTACAAGGCTGAAAGTGGGTCCATGTCTAGGATCACAGGCCTCAACCGAATGTCACTATCTACGGCACTACAGCATCGTCAATCAAGGATTTACCATTGCTGTCACATTAGCTGTTCTACAACACATCTTACGGGAGTCGGGAGAACTGTGTTTGTGCGATATTCCGTTATTCCGTGTATCTATCGGGGGTAGGTAGTTGCTTCCAATCCCAGAAATGTGGGTATCTCCTACAACATGAAAGCGACAGGTACCACCTGGCCCTATTTTCATTTACCAAGCATGTTCCGTTCCTTCCAGGCGTGTTCCCGTCCCCCAGCATCTTGTGTGTTCAACCACCAAAGCAGATTTCTCGATTTGACGAGAGCCAACTATCTCTAGTTTCTTCAACCTCCGAGTCAGCGACCAAATCTTCCACTTCTCCGTTGGTCCTAGAAGAACCGTTGGTGGTCTAAAACACCAAGGACACCTGCCACGCCGCAACCTGTCGACAGCACTATAGTGGCCTTCCACCGTTCAGCGCCATCCCATCATCGTTCTCGGGCTGGTACTCGGGCTCCTCGGGCTCCGCGGACTGTTCTGTTCGGGCTGGTGAGGGTGATGGATAAGTACTCCGAAGCACGCCCAAAATACGGCGGCGTAACGGTTCCGGGTACTCAGAGTAATCCCCTCTGTAACCCAACTCCCTGTGAAGAGAACTGACAGCATCCTCATTCTCAACCTCCTCCATCTCCTGGTGCTGTTGATGCTGTTGGTGTCCACCCACGAGCATGTTTGATGGCTGGTTGTGGTGGTGAGAACCCTGTTGGTGATCCACGTGCATCCTACCTCCAGTTTGTACAACACCCGGCCCCAACTGGTCGGACCATGACATGAAACCCATTGTTGGCAGCGTCATCTGCCCATCGCCATCCACCCCGCGCTGCTGCTGCTGGCTATGATAAGCGTAAACGCGATGAGTCTGGACATTGCCATGTGCATGGTGCTGCTGGCCATCCAGTGCCGGGTCCGGCAGGTTGTAGTCAGGCAGGAGGTTGTAGCTTTGGCTCTGACTGTGGTCATGGTTGTGGTGTGTCTGACCCTGACCTTGACCCGCCGTCATTTTTCTCATCAAAGCAGCAGTCTCCATGTCAATACCATGACCCCCCTCGCACTCCTCACACAGTCCCAGCTCCACCTCCACCTTATCCTCAAACTCAAAGTGAGTGGGACAATTCTCACATTCTCTGTTCCGCTCTTCCTTGGTCATACCTCTTGTCCCCAGTTCTGTCAAATGGGTAGAGAGAAAACCCGCACAGTCGACATATTTGATCTCAGTTTCGTTCCAGTGGATGTGTCGCTGGGCGGAACCGAAGTGGCGGGGGTAGAAGCCCGATGGCAAGGCGTCGCGAGTATCAGAGGAGCGAATTTCGTCCAGAGTATTTTTGATGAGCTCCTCGAGGTTGGGCTTGAGTGCTTGTTGACTGGCGAAGGCGGCCATGGCGAACAACAAGGCGGAGGGAGTCAGAGTTCCGTTGGTGGGAGCAGGGAAGGGGTAGTCTTGGCCGATGTTTGTGTTGTTGCTGTTGTTGTTATTGTTGTTGGAGCTCGCTGAACCTGTGCCTGAGGTGGAGTGACCGTAGAAGGGGAGGCTCAAGGAGGAGGTGGAAGCGATGGGGCTGTAGATCATGCCGTAGTTCTCGGAGGGGTGGCCGGTGTTTGTGAGGTTGTTATTGTTGTTGTTGCTGGAGCTCGCTGAACCTGAGGCTGAGGCCGAGTGGCCGAAGAAGGTGAAATTCGAGGAATGGGCGGGGGCGATGGGGGTGTCGATTGTGTCGAAGTTCTCGGAGGAGAAACTGGCAGGGGAACCAGCAGAGGCACTGGCCCAGAGATTGGTGGTTGGATTCGGAGAGATGGAGAAGGAGGGGGTAGTGGGGATTGAGGCTGATGGTGTGTCTACCTCTACGCTCGAAGGGGAGCGGATGGTGGAAGAGCCGATGGTGGCCCCGGCGGAGGAAGTCGAAGTGAGGGGGGAGGAAGCCGGAGAAAAGGGAGAGGCTCCGGCGTTGAGAGCTTGAGGGGTGGCGGTACCGCTGGGAGAGAGAGGCGGGGTTGAAACTGCCACCGTGATTGTCGGGGCGGCGCTACTGTCTTGGCTGGCGGCATTGAGGTCGTCCTTGTTGCTGTCGCCTTCGCTAGCAGTGTTGGCATTGGCGGGCTGGTTGATATGGTCGTAGAGGTATTCGAACGAGCTACTCGCAATGTTGCCCTGTCCCACATTGTCGGCGTTGGCGGCGACGAGGTTGCGCGAGTGGGAACAAGAACGATGATTCCTCAACACGCAAGAGCATGCGAAGATGGTTGTGGTCTTATGGCACATCTTGCGAGTCTTGTCGTTCTCGACTTTGGTGTCTGGTCGAAGAAAGCTGAGGAATAGAAAAAGAAGGATCCGAAATTCGTGCGAAGGTCCGCCTTTTATGTGTTTGAGTAACGGGCAATGGGGCGTGTGTCTGGTGCGAGGGGTCGGGGCCAAAGCTGGTTATGCCTCTACTTTATGTGCAATATCAATATTGATGCAGCTCCAGTTGTCAGGACCTTTGGCGGGCCTCGAGCGTGCGTCGCGGCCGGAGGTCCGAAGTCGACAGAGATCGTGCTTCGAGGGGTGAAGGGTGCGCCTCACGATCTGTGCGAGGGTTCGAGACGTGTCCGCTTCTGCAAAGAAGGAAAGGGATCAGTACAGATATGCGGCGACTGGAGCACGGCTCGGTGAACTGAAGTCCTAACCTACTGGTTTGTTCGTTGGTATCGGTGGTTGGAAATCGGGATGGTGGTTGCTTCGAAAATGACCGAGAGGTGGTGGCAGTTGGTCGCAGGAGGAAGAAGACGAGAAAGTTTTGCGACAGAAATGTGCAGGCCCTGTATTGCCTAGAAGTACTCAAATGTCGAAGGGTGATGTTGGGATGAAATGCTGTTCACCTTGAAATTACTTCACCGAATCCCGCTGCCTCAGGTTTCAGTTTTGTTGCCCATCGAATGACGGTCTGCCTGGACTCTGCAGCGAACAGCTATCATGATCATGACAAGTACAGCTTCACTTCCCTTGACTTTCGACTGTTGATTGGTGGGTTAGGTTTTCGATTAATCAATGGCCCACAGTATATGATCGACCCGCAGTAGGACACGAGGATGAAGATGAGGAAGTACTCGGGAATAGTTTCAATTCTGTCTGCCAGCACGCTGTCGGCGCTGCTATCATGTTCGTCTGGAATCTTCCTCCCGTTCTGCCTGTACCAGTTCATGCTGCCATACACGCACCTCCATTCCAGGTTACCTACTTCACTGGACCCCAAACTGGACATCAACCAAGTCCTAAAAGACCTAGGTTTGCCGTTGCCAACATAACGGCTCGCATAGCCGTCAAGTCATCAACAAGACATCACTCCATATCCATCCACCTGTTCAACGTCTCCATCATATCCCTGATCCCCTGCTCCATTTCATCCTCAGCCTCAACTTGACGCTCCTGACCGTGATTCTGAACCTGACCTCGGCCCTGGCCCTGACCCTGACCATCACCTCGATTACCACCCTCCAGGTTGCTACCAAACCCATTTTGAGTCTGATGCATGCCTCTCAAAGCATCCGCATGCACATCTCTACACTCCTCACACAGTCCCAGCATCTTCACCTCCTTATCCTCGTTTCCAAAGTACTCGGGGCAATTCATGTACTCCTCGTCCGAGTTGATGATGGTATCAAGATGCGTAGAGTGGTACGCGGCGCAAGGGAACCACTCGGTTCTCCAGACGTCCCAGTGGACGGCGCGCTGGACTTGGCCCATTTTACGCTCGTAGAAGAGGCCGTCGATGATGCGGGGCGGCTCGGACTCTTGGGCAGGCGCGGTAGGGGAGGGAAAACGGTCGTGCTCGTGCTCGGCAGAAAACTCGGGGGCGGAAGCATTGATGGTGTTGCCAGTGTTGGTGTTGGTGCTAGTGGCGGTATTACCGGGACCCGGGGACGAAGAAGCAGAAGAAGCAGAGTTGGGGGAGAACGGAGGGGGAGGAGCAAAACCGGGGGGAGGAGCCATGCCGGGGGGTAAAGCAGAAGAAGACATGGAGGGAAGGATCAAGGGGCGCGCGAACATCTCGGCGGCCAATTGCTCCATCCTGCTTCTTTCGAACTCGCCTTCGGCGAGGCAGGCGGAATGAGGGCAGGCGGAGGTGTCGCGGAGAAAGCAGCGACAGGCAAAGATGGTGGTTTTTTTGTAGCACATTTCGATCGCTTGATCAAGATCTTGAGGGGAAGTGAGTCTGAGTTGAGGATATTCCGATGATTGCAACTTTGCAAGGCTCTTTTGAATCTGAAGAGAATCTGGTGGTTAGCAGAGTTTTAAGAATGCCTTGAGTCTCTGTTCAGTTACCGAAGATGAAGCAGCGAGATCTCCTTATCGACGCTGATGAGTCTTGCCCGAGTAACTTCAGGAGGAAACCTGGGAGATGCAGTCAAAGGTATCTCGTCATGAAGAAGAAAAATTTAGAGGGTAAGGAAAGAAAGGAGAAAGAGGGGAGAAAGGAGTTTATATACAGGTAGAAATCATAGCCCCGGGGTATGCCTGACTAGAAGCTATTGACCCAGTATCTCAATAAGATGCAACCACCACCAGTCTTATGTTATTTAGCGTGACGAATTGATGTGAAACGAGGATGAAAATACGAAACACACTTCTGCGAAACTGAATAACAAGTACGACAATAGGTAGCGGGGTGTAATATGAAGAGAACAATGGCACACAAGACCAACTATGAGCAGGATCGGAAGTAATTGTGAAGAAATTCAAATGGAAGGCATGGGATTCAGGAGCCAGGGATGCTTGATGACCAAAATGACCTCGAGACTCGCAGGTTACGTATAGGCAATCGTACCTCTAGGAAGGAGGGGCGGACTCGGTCATGGGAGGGGTAAGAACGATGTTGACTTGCGTAGAAGCTCAGGAAGCGACTAGTCTAGGCCTCGATGACCTAAGCAACACAAGCAGGGCAAGAGAAATGACTGTTCATTACACGTTGTCATTAATAAAATGAAGGGTATCTCCAAACAAGTCTGAGCTATCATCATCCTCCCCATGTCATCATCAAATTTGCAAACATGGGACAAACCTTGGGTATGGGCATTACTCATCACCGGATGACATTTCCCCCCCGCCATACTGCCTCTTCCGCATCACTTTCACTTCGTTCCCCCTATACTCACCATCATTCGGCGCAGGCCCTCAGCTGCTGTCAATCCCCTCCCTAACTTTCTCCCCCTTGACACTCTTCTCTTCTGGCGTCTCATCCCCCGGCGTCTTCCCCTCGGTGACCACCACTTCCCCAGCATGTCTTGCCTGATCAGCGTGAATGGCCTTGACGCCTTTGCCCGTGATATCCCACCAAATGTACTTGCACGTCCTGACCAGCGTCTCTCGCCCTTCGTAGATGGGGAACAGACCGACACCGATAAATGACAAGAAGATCCAGATGATGCCGACGACGACCCAACCAGTAAAGAAGGGCTTGGAGAAGATGTAGCCGGTGCCGTAGAGGGGCATGGGCCAGAGGATCAGGAGGGCTAGGGTCTGTTGTTCGTTGATTAGCAACCCGGGTGGGCAATGGAGGGAAAACAGATGAAACTTACCAAAACAGCAGTCATGGTCTTACTGATCTTACTCGCCCTCCTCAACTTTTTCTGCTCCTCCTTCATCTCCCTCTCACTTTCCTCTCTGCCCCCCGGAACCTCCTCCAGATCCACCCCGGCCTCGCCCGCCACGTCATGATCATCCCCCCTCGAAATCGCCATCATGCTCTTCCAGTCATACTTGGCCTTGCCAAAGACCAACGTCAACACAGGCACAAACACCACCGGACTCAACAGCGCAGCAACATTCCCCGCCAACATTGGCATGTTACTTCCCGTGCAAGCAACGCTCATCTCGCCGCACTCCTTCTTGGCCGTGACCAACCACGCCACCAGCGCCACACAGAGTCCTAGGACAGGTGAGAGTGCAGCAGCCCATTTGTTCAGGCCGGACCAGGTCAAGACCAAGGCGGCGGGCAGGACGGCAGAAGAGATGATGACGCCCATCATGACGTACAGATAACCCATGGAAATACCGGCATACCACAGTCCGACAGAGAAGCTGGCAATGAAGAGGGCATAAGCGCAAACGACCACGTGCGACATGTAGATGAGTCGCTTGCCGGAGGCTTCAGGCTTGATGTATGTCCTGTATAGGTCGTAGACGATGATGGACGAGACGGCGATGAGCTGCGAGGAGGTGGCCGAAGTAACGGCCATGAAGACAATCAGAAGCGTGGCGGCCGCTCCACCCTTTCCTAGCAGGGCGACGGCCGCGTAGGGGAGGACCAGACCAGCGCTGACATCGGCTTCGGGCATGCGGTTCGGGTAGGTAGGGAAGCGCGGGCTGCTCTCCAGAGCGAGGCCGGACAAACCCATGGTGGTGGCGGTAAGCCACGGAATGGCGAACCAGCAGAGACCGCCGAGGATGTAGCCGGGCAAAGCGTGCACGGGCGAGGCGGCGATGGCCTTGTTGTAGTACCCGTTGTCAAGGAAGACGGTGCCAAAGTTGCCGACGATGTTGATGACAAAGAAGATGGCGCCTTCGCGGGAGCGCATGGTAAGATAGGAACCCTCGTGGTTACCGTCGACGGGATGGGCGGCGGCTGCCTTGACGAGGAGGTCGTAAACTGCGCTGGGCGAGCCGAGGACTTCGGAAGAGGCGTAGGCGGAAAGGGCGAAGACGATGATGATGAGGAGGAGGATGAAAGTGTGGATCCAATCGGTGAGAATGGTGGCCTTGAGACCGCCGACCAAGGTGTAAGCCACCACGCCGACGGGAAGGAGGTAGATGGCTGCGATGGTGTGCATCCCTGTTAGGGCGTTGATAGTGGCGCTGCCTCCGACGATCAACATCAGAGAAACCAAAATGTTGGTCATCAAGCCGAAGATCATGAAAACGATATGTGGCAGGGTGCCGAAGCGGGCGCGGATGACTTCGAGGTAGGTATGCGCGTTGGGAGCACGGCGTTTGAGTTCGATGGCGAGGGTCGCAAAAAGGAGGATTTGGACGGTGGCACCGGAAGCGTACCACAAAGGACCCGAGACGCCATATCGATAGCAGACACCCGAGGACTGGAGGAGGGTGGCAGCCCAGGTCCAGGAGGAGACGACGGCGGAACCAACGAGACCGGACTTGACAGTGCGACCGGCCGTGTTGAACATTTCTGATGTCTGGAGCTCGCGGTTGTAGCGTTTGAGGATGAAGGTGACAAAGATCATGCCTGATACACATTCAGTCAGTGAGATTCATGGGGCTAGAGGGACTGAGAAGGTAGGTAGGTAGGTAGGTAGGTAGGTAGAGGTACTCACCAAGGGCAAACAATGCTCCCAGCCCAATGACAATGCCATAGCCGACTCCTTGGTTTAGAGCCGTGGCTGTTTCTATCTTGACAGTGGTGTCTGCACCCCCCGCCATTATGTATGGTGTTTAGGGGACTTTGTTTGACAGTAGTGTGGGCTTGGAAGCTTGTGACACTGGATAGACTCGACCCATGATGTCGGGATGCGGCTGGAGATATATAACTTGTGTCCCACGAAAGCAATGACAAAGGCGATATGATCCCATGTGGTGATTATCAGAGTGTGATATCCAAAAGTCGGATAAGATCTTGAATGACATCTTCCATCCACCGCGGAGTTTGGTGTACGCGGACAAGTTACCCCGGTCTCGCGTTCCGGTTGCGGGGTGTAACATCAAAGTCAGCCTGGACGTAATTCCTATTATGTTCTCCTTGGTGTGTATACCAAAGGCTGACAAAAGTGTTATCACTGCAAGTGATGGCGAGGAAAGGGTAGCACAAGTCTTATCAGCAACCAGTGTAAGACACCCGAACTCCTCCGATTTCGTTCCTCTTTGGGGTTTCATCCGGCTCTTGGAAGTTCGAACCGTTGACTTCCCCACTTCAGCCATGTGTGTCTTTAACCCTTTTACCCCATCCATGACGCCCATGCCGAAATGGCGGTTCCAATCGCTTCGGGAGATTTCATGGAGTTCGAGTCTTTCACGGGGGGTTTCGGACATTCGTTGAGATAAGCTTCAGTTACGCTTCTGGAATCTTATCAGTTCGCCGCTTGGCACGCGGGAACTATCGAATGGTAGCACTTTCGCAACATTGATAGAGACCGGAACTGACCAATCAGAACTCATGACTTATGGGAATTCGAGCTTTCTTATCTCGACTGATCAACCCGATCTGCAGGGCTTCGGATATGTATGGCGTTTCAAGCTGTGTGTAACTTGGTTGCATGGTGCCCGCGCCCAGAGACCAGCACCAGGTACCAGTTGTGCAGCTTGTACCACAAGTCTTTGTCAGATACCAATATGCATCCCACTGGATCCCGCTGGCCGAATTTGCCAAGATGGCCGAGATTCTCGATTGCTCAAAAGTGGCTGTTGTCTTGTTGTAAATGGATCAAGCTCGTCCGTGGAATGCCGATAACACTTAGCCGCTTTCCACCTCGCCATTGGATCAGACCTTTGACATCAACAAATTCTGAATGCTCACTCGTTGGTTGTTGAGACGGCTGTTCAAGGTTGGATGGGACCCTCGGTAACCCCACAGACCCGACGGCTTGGATCATGAAAGATATCGGTACATGTAGTTGGAGCAGGGTGGATCAAGAATGTTTTGGGACCGGATGGGGGTGGTATCATCCCGAGAAAGCAAAGTGACCTTCAAGCAAAGCAGACGCCCGTCATACTACCGCCATCGCAGCGAGCAAAGCCGTCGGACGTTGAAACAAAGGATTGAACATGCAAAAGGCTGACAAAAAGAGCAATCATTGCAACACATGATCGCACACAAAGGCAGGAACACTGCCTGCGGAATCCCGAATGTCACTCTCTCCAACGGACCCCCATCTTAACCCAGTGCAACCAACACCCTCTTCTCATAAACCTGCTTCCACGCCTCCTTCTTGATTTCTGCCAAATTGACGCGGTATCTAACATCCCGGTTATACTTGCCTGTACCCCTTCGTACCTGCATCGCCAACTTCTCCGGATCACAGAACGGCAGGTAATTGTTGGCAATGCGGATGAACTCGCATTTACCGTCACCCTTCTCATCCACTCCAATGTCCTGAGCCTTTGGGTCGCAAGGGTGCGTCCTCCCTACCACCTGTCCGTCATCGTCGATAATCTCTTGATAATACTTGGTGTACTCCTTCACTTGCAACGGGTTTTCTTGCAAGACTGACGGTCCCTGCACTTTGAGCTCCGAGAGTTTGAAGCGCGCTGATTCGGTCCAGAAGAAGATGAGCTGGTCGTCCGGTATGTCAAGCAGGACTTCGGGGGTCATGGAGGGCAGATTGTCATAGATGTCGTCGAGGGTGACCGAGTACTTGCTGTCGTTGATGTTGGGTATAGCCCACGAGTTGGCTCGTTCTGGGCCGTTATCGACGGAGATTCTTCGCACCGGAAACACGCGCAGTGGGTGGTTGCGCAGAACAAAACAAACCACCTTTGGGTTGAGTCCCACCTCGAGCTCGCGGTCCTGCACTTTGAGACAGATAGCTCCGGACCATCCCAGCCACGACCAAGTTGGGAAGGGAACATGCCGCTTGAAGCTGGTCATCTCCAGCGTGCTCAGTTCCTCTCTCCTCTTGAGACCTCGTCGGTAAGGCTCCCAGCACAGACAAAGCTCGAAGCGCCCGCTTGGCATGCCCCAGAGAAAGTTCTCACCAGTCATTCTACGGACTTGCTCCACCACTGCACTAAACGCATCGAGAGCATCGCCTTGGAACTTTAGATTGCGGTTTGAGTAGTCTTGCACCAAGCGTTGGAACTTGTACCAGACTTGTTCTTCGGGCACGTCTTCGGTGTACCACGTTCGCTCGGACGAATTGAGAATGGGGTCAGACTCTTGCAGGCCGAACCATGCTAAGGAGCCGAGTGTAGCGGTCTCGCAGCAGGACTCCTCCGAGTAGTGAGACCGGGAACAGGACCAGAGGACGTGGCTTTTCATAATGACAATGGCCCGTCGGGAGAGGGCTCGTTCCTGGAGTGTCCACCCGCGCGAGGCCCAGATGGTCTTGCGGGTTGGGTGTTCATGGGACTGGTGGGTGGGAGAGAGGGCAGTGATGAGGGACATCCCGGGGTTGTTTTCTGATGGGGCGATGACCGGGACTACCTCTTGGACTGTATCCCGGGGGGTGCGGATACCAGGAAGACCAAAGTTGGAGTCGTCACCCGCAGCGGCCATGATAGTGAAGAGGGAGTGGGCGTAAACGTTGGCGATGTTGCCAAGTTGCATTACCTTATCATCCTCGGAGTTTTGGATGATACAGAGGGCATCGACCCAGAGATATTGGAGGCCAAGTTTTTCGGTTAGGTGGATGGCGTCGGAGATGGTCTCGGACACTTTGCCAACGAGAGAGTTGGGCCGGTGGAGTTCATACTCGTTTTCGATAAGAAGGGTGAGTTTCTGAGGAGTGACACCCCAGACATAACTGAGTGAAGCAAACTTGAGGGCGGACATGTCGACATCGTAGAGGTTGTACTTGGTTACGATACACTTTTTGTGCACGTCAATGAGACGGAAGAGAGGAATTGGTTTGCTGTGTCTGTCAGTTCATGCCCTCCAAAACACTGAAAGCGGTTACACTCACCCCAAACGCCTCATCTGTTCTACCAACTCCGGATCATCATCCTCATCTACCTCTTCACTAATCCCACAGACGTCCTTGTGGTTCTCCAAGCACTCATTGAGCCATTGTTTGATCAAGCCAATGTCAATCATCTCCGGTCTCTTTCGTCCTGCGAACCACACCGTCTCCGGTTTTTCCTCATCTCCCATCAGCACCCCTTTTTTGTCTTCAGCAAAACCCCTTGGAATAGCAGTGTTCATAGTCTGAAAGATATCCATTGTGGAATACCAGCTTTCGATCTTCTTGGGCATACCCGGCTCATTCACATCCTCATCTTTGTCGGCCGGCCGAAACAGCAGTCCCAACCGTCGGAGGAAGAAGCAATCCCTTTCCTTCAGTCCGCCATGCTTGTCATCATGCTCCAGCCACGATGTCCCGTCTGGTGCCGACAATCTCCCACAAAGGGCTAATGTACCCAAGACCAATGGATCCTGTACGCCCATTTCGGTGAGGGTGGCGCGGACTTGCGGCTGCTGGTCTAGGACGGTACATAAGGCGTGGCAGAGGTCGCAAGAGGCAGAAGATTTGTGGATGCGGGAAAGAAGGCCCAAAGACCATGTTGGCTCGACTCTGGCATATGGGTTGCGCTTGAAGGGGCTGAGGTCCTGGGGTGCTGGGTTGCCGTCGTTCAGAGAGCGGAGATCGGTAGTTGTGGGGTAACGAAGCAACGGGAAGTCAATCTGGGAGCAAAAGGAGCAGAGGTTGGGTTCCGTGTCGGGCGAGGGAATGCTTGTAACGGTGACCGAGGATGTCTTGGTGGAAGACGGCCGCGCGACGTGCGAGGGGAGGGATATCGATGTTGGTGGCATTGTGGGAGTTTGATGTGCTGGAGTTCAAGTTGCTTGTGTTTCGGCAGCGAATGTCTTGACATGAGGGGTTTTAACACCTTTCTGATGATATTTGGCTCAACGGCATTGTAACATCGGGTGTAGACGCCCTGTAACGATGTCAGCATTGGTGCGGTCCCAGGACGTTCGGGGTTGCGCACTTGAGCGGCGCGGACGAACCAGAGGGAATCCCAATACACCCTTGTATCCTCCTTGGCGTAGGGATTGCTTTTTCTGCATCTCATGCGAGGTTCCGATCCTGGGATGCAACCGACATACTGACTCGTTTCTGGCGGGTGATGTCGCGAGACTGATGTGTTCTTGTCATCAAGGCCTATCTTCCAGCCTTGGGGGCCTTGAAGGAGACGGCGAGAGGTATAAAAGAATACCGACCCATCATAGGTTTCTGTGGTGTCATGAACCCTTGTACCATATCGCTTCAAACGGAGGACACTTTCTCTCTTGAAAGGCCAGAAAGGCTGCCTGGAGGGGCCCGGCGAATCTGACCAACATCACCCGACCATTCTCCAGGGACTAAGCACAGTTATCCCACACCCCACATCTCACTTGCCCTGGGTCGTCAGCAGTGAAGTACGTAACGGTTTCAGGGCTTCGTAAGCCACCACCACCAAAATCGGTTCAATCAGCATCTGGGCCAGCTGGGTTACCTGGAGAGGTCCCTAAGGCTGTGAAGGGTCGTGCCGCATAAGGGGTCGTGGAAGCTGCCTCTAGGTAGGTTGGTGGAAGCAGCAAGAAAACGGAGGTGCGGCTAGGTGGATTGCAGGAGGAGGGTCGCTGGATGTAGCACTATCAGCCCCGGAGATAATGGCTTTTCAGGCACCCATTTAAGGACTTGTCGTCTTTCTCACCTGGCATGGTACCCCAAGGAGGCACGCTTCGCCATGCTCGGTGTCGGGGCCCATGGCAATAACCATCATACAGTGACTTTGTAGAGAACAAGTCAAGCTGGATCATTGGCGGCGTGGATCGTGGTGGTTCATAGTATTGTCGGCAATGGTTTCGTTATGTTCTCCATGTTGGGTCCAATTGCCGCGTCTGCCTTGTCGTTCGTTTGCGTTGTCGTTTGTGTAGTATGTGGTGGTTCTCTGGTTTGGAACAGCCGATGGCGAGGACGAGGGGTTCAAGTTACGAGAGGAAGACGAAAGGAGTGAGTGACAGGCTGGCAGACGGAGGATGCAGTGCAGTGCAGTGGCCTTCGTTTGCACAACTTGAAGCCCAGCAGCTCGAGTGCTCCTTCCCCGACAGCACAAGTCATCGGAAGGAAGTGAAATTGGCCAATGACGACAAAGGATAGGAAAAGGTTGAACCATCAAGGTCCTCAATGGCCCGGAGGGGTTGACGTACCTGCATTAACCCTAACCCCCTCTCATCCTGACTGACTTTTTCTCAAGATCGGGATCCCGTCGACAAGGATTGATATGCCGAGTGGACACTCTGGGCACTTTCTAGAACTGAACTCCGAATACCGGGACGGGGATCCCGTGAGTCATTGAAAGTAGTAAAACCCCCCCGCCACGTGCCAGTGAAGAGGGTTCCATATTTTACTACGTATTTTGTTTTGACAGCTCGGCCGACTCGTCAACAACCAAAGACATCACCATTAACACAAACCACATTTCAACAATGCCCGCCGCCACCAACGACCACATCCTCACCCTGTCATGCCCTGACAAGCCGGGCATTGTTCACGCCGTCACGGGCGTGTTCGCCCAGCAGGGCCACAACATTCTCGACCTCCAGCAATTCTCGGACCCCGTCTCGGAAAAATTCTTCATGCGCGTGCACTTTGGCCCTACGCCCACGCCCTCGACCGAGCATCTCATCGAGCCCTTCAATAAGCTTGCGACCGACTACCAGATGGAGTATAAGATCCGCCCTGTCGCGCAAAAGACACGGGTTCTGATCATGGTGTCCAAGATCGGCCACTGCCTCAACGACCTCCTCTTCCGCGCCAAGACCGGCCAGCTCCCCATCGACATCCCCCTCATCGTGTCCAACCACCCTACCTTTGAGCCGCTGGCCCAGTCGTACGGCATCGAGTTCCACCACTTGCCCGTCACCAAGGACACCAAGGCCCAGCAGGAGTCGCAGGTCCTCGAGCTGGCAAAGCAGCACGGCATCGAGCTGATTGTGCTTGCCCGCTACATGCAGGTTCTGTCGCCCACGCTCTGCGAGGCCATGTCGGGCCGCATCATCAACATCCACCACTCCTTCTTGCCATCTTTCAAGGGCGCCAAGCCCTACCATCAGGCGTACGAGAGGGGTGTCAAGATTATCGGTGCCACGGCGCACTTTGTCACGGCGGATTTGGACGAAGGTCCCATTATCGAGCAGAGGGTCACCCGAGTTGATCACGGTATGGGACCGGAGAGGTTGGTGGATGAGGGCTCCAACGTCGAGAGCCAGGTGTTGGCGGCCGCGGTCAAGTGGTATGCCGAGCAGAGGCTGTTCCTCAACAACGGCAAGACCGTGGTCTTTTCTTAGGCGCCTGGAAGAGGGTGCTTGAGACTGTGTTGCGTTGTACATAATAATGATTGAATACCCGTACATACAAGCTCCCCCCATTCCAAGTGAAACTCTGAGCTTCCAGATGAAATCCCTTTAAGGATCGGATGTTTCTTGGTTACATGAACTACATAATAATGATTGAAGACCCGTACATACAAGCTCCCTCCATTCCAAGTGAAACTGTGAGCTTCTAGATGAAATCCCTTCAAGAAATCGGATGTTTCTTGGTTACATCACAACAGAACACCGAGGCAACGCCGAAGAAAAAAAAAAGAACAGAGCATGGAACCCCTGAAATTACAGGGCCAGAAGGGCCTGTTCCCCTTCAGGCAGGCTTTCCACTTGGATTTACACAGTAATGGCGGGGCTCGTGGGGGAGGGGCATTGGCAGAGTCAGATCCAATCAGTGACATCATTACAGAAACTCCACTGGAGACCCGAACTAGGAAAAGATGGAGTTATGTGATTGGCTGTTTCCCAACCCAGCCAAGGCCATTTTCAAGTTTCAATCCAATTCGTCGGCATTTTTCTCCATTTTCTCTCCAACAAAACCCGAGTTACGCAGATGAACAACGCCCACGTAACACGACCTTGTTGTTGTCCAGCTGTGTTATCGTCACTTGGGCCGTCTTAATTGAAACATATTCCCCCCCCGTTTTGTCTCTCTCTCTCTCCCGGACTCGACGACGAGGCCACCTTTCCAATCCGACACCATCAACAATTGTAGAGATACCGACATCCAATCCGATTCGTCGGCACAACCGAGTACGAGACCAGACCGCACACCGTACCTTTCTTTGGTTGTACATATCTCGACCATACCTCAACCATAATACCCATCTGTACCTGAAGTCCACCACTGTGTCGCTTTATATCGCGCATCTCCAGTGTTGTAGTGGTCGACCTCGGACGTCATGGTCCAACCCTCTGCCGCCGCCAACACGGCCGCCGGCGCATCCTCATCCTCATCACGGCCGCAGACTCCTCGAACTCCTCGAACCCCTCGCGCTCCCCGACCACAGCGAACCACGTCTTCCGGGTCATTCCACGCTGGCGCTCCGTTTCCCCAGTTCAACAGCCCCTTCAATGACCACGGTCGAAGAACCTCGGTGGCCACGATACGTCCCATCCGCCGACAGTCCACCCACAAATACCACACCTTCCCAACACAACCACCCAAGACGCCCTCCTCACCACCGCGAAACGACCCGTGGAGTGCATATGCCCAACAACGACGCGACGGCGAGCATGGCCATGACGATGGAAGCATATCGGAGACATCACAAGGCGAAGGCGACGCTGTCACACCGCTACCATGGAAACAGCTGGGCCTCCTGGCGCTGTTGTCCCTAGCCGAACAGACAGCCCTCAACTCCATCGGTCCATACCTTCCCACCATGGTGGCATCTTTTGACGAGATTCCTGATGGCGACGAGGGACTGTATGTGGGTCTTTTGGCCTCGGCCTTTGCTCTCGCGCAGTTGGTGACCAACCTGTTCTGGGGCTACCTCTCGGATCGCATCGGTCGTAAACCTGTCATGCTTACAGGCTCCCTTCTACTGATGGGCTGCTTCGTGTGCTTCGGCTTCTGCAAGACATATGTCCAGCTCATCATGGTTCATGTTGCCATGGGATTGCTCAATGGAAATGCGGCCGTGGTGCCAACAGCCCTGGGAGAAGTCACGGATCGCACAAACCAGACTAGAGCCTTCACCTGGCTGCCTATCATTTACAGCCTTGGTAGCATCACCGGTCCTGCTCTCGGTGGTCTGCTGGTTGGTACCGTCGGGGCCGACAAGTACCCGTTCCTTGGCCCCAACCTCATGAGCGCCGGATTCCTGTTCGTTGCCGTCCTTGTTCTCGCCATCTGGTTCCGGGAGACATTGGAGAAGGATGAGGAGGAAGACGCCAGCGACTATACTACCATGTTCAAAAAGGCTCGTACCCTTCTCGCCGGCTGTCTGGGCCGAAACAACAAGTCCAATCACCGGAATGACGAAAGCGACGCTCTCCTCGGCGAGCATGGAGATGCCACAAGCGCCAAAGACATCGCCTCGGACCAAAAGTCTGCTTTCCGCCAACTTGCCAACCGTACCACCTTGATCCTGCTTTGCACCTATCTTGTCTTCCAACTGACCAACATCTCCTACAACTCGCTCTACCCCATCTTCGCCTCGGCGCCCCCGCCCAACGGCCGTAACCTGGGACCCAGCACCATTGGACTCAGCTTGTCTCTGGCAGGATTGGCTACCATTGCATTTCAGGCTTTCGTCTTCCAACCGCTCAAGGCGCGCGCGGGCAACATGGGTACTTACAGATACTCCCTTCTGGGAATGGCCATATCTATGGCGCTCATGCCTTGGATCGGCTACAAGGACCAGAAAGACACTTGGTTCGGGATTGGGTCCGGCAAAGCTTGGCTGTACAGCGAGTTGGGTGTCATTTTGTTGCTCAAGAACATTTGCGCTGTTGGTGGCTTGAGCAGTGTGATGCTTCTGGTATGATTTGTCCTTTAGTCCCCTTTATATCTTTCATCTAGCGTCTACTAACATACACTAATTGCAGATCACAAATTCTGCCCCTTCCCACGAATCCCTCGGCACACTGAATGGCATTGCCCAAACACTTTCCGCTGCTGGTCGTAGCGTCGGTCCCTTCATCTCCGGCGGGCTTTTTACCCTGACAAATCATGTCCAACCAAAGGGAGAGGCGATTGCCTGGGGCGTATTTGCCGGTGTCGCCCTTCTTGGGTGGTTTGGCACCTTGATGATTCGAGGACGTGAGTTGGAGAGCGCCGACTGGCAAGGCGATGAGGAGGATGAGGGTCACGACGAGGAGGCCGCCCATGATTCGGACCGGTGATCAGTGACTTACTATCGTATGATGGACCCAGCACAAAATAATACATAATGTCCCTTCTTTCTTTGCGTATACCGAGCATCATACAACCAGCGGTACTAAACCGATTTGCATTATCACGAGTCCTTCCATCTCTCTTGGCTGCTTTGTTCTGTGTATTTGCCTCCTTGTCATGTCAGTCCTGGATTTCTTCATCGCAGCCGCGTTTATGCTCAATTATTGCGTAACCAACCGCAGTATAACTGTCTGTTGGCCCAAAAACAGGGTCAAGCGCCCACATTCTCAGAACCACTGGCAGATACGACACTGACTGGGCGGGAGCTCATGTGCCATATCCTTGATCTACAATCCCTCTGCATCTAGGGTTGCATATGATGGAGGAGACTCTGCTTACGCCTCTCATGGCCCACAGTCCCATAGTCCCATTCAGTCTGTATATAGGCTAACCACCGAGATAGGACTACCAGTGCCACTGCAACTGGGTACATCAAAGATTATTACGGGGATAGGCCTGTGTAAACGACGAAAGATACAACCAAACCAGATCGCGATTATCTCATTGGAAAAATGATATCCAGCCGTATCTTGGTTGTGAAAGGGGACATTACTTGACGGGACGGAACGAATCTCTGCGGTATATTACCGTTCATCTTCCTGTCGTTGGCCATGCGGAATCTATGGATGCTGCAACTGACAACTGGACTACCCCATTTCGTCAGAGTTCACCGACATCAGCCCTGATTATCCCATCCACAACATTTCTTAAAGGAAATAAGGGTACTGGCATCACCATGAACTTGCCAAGTTGGTAAACCCCCAACCCAAGACTGACCAACTTATCCATACAGCCATCTGGATTTCAACAAGATCCAGTGTCACCAACATATTCTGCCAAGGCATCCACGGGTCTTATACGACCCTTCCATCCTAAAAGCCCTCTGAGATGCACATCGGCACTTCGACATGATGGTGCTGGACTCATTTCTCCATTAATCACCGTTCAGCTCGTTACCTCGGCAGCGTGTCAGTAACGGCTTGTGTTTTGGCGTGATGTCAGGATGGACTGAATCTTTTGAAGAACAAGAAACGGGAAGGTATCGATTATGCTCTCGTGCAATGCAGAAACATGGACTGAACGCAACTACCCCATTCTGAGGCTGCGAATCTGTATACATCCACATGCCCTCTTTTCACTACCAGTTCTCCAACGAAGCGGCCGCACGTCCCGATACGAGATTGGGTTTTGCTCATTTTGCCGCCCAGATCAATGTTGGTTTGTTTGTCAGCTCGAGACCCACGACCTCCTCAGACAAGGGGAAAAAAAACAAGGGATTCCGGAGCCCCTATTGGTCCAAACAAAACACCAAGTCAGGGTCAAGAACAACAACTGATCGTATACCGCACACATGCAGCAAAACTTGCTCTTCAGCAGCGGGCAATAGCCAACCGATATGCAATTCACGCCAGCAGTCCAGCCTAGCTATTCCGAAAGTGGTAAAAGAGTCCTCTGCAAGTGTGTTTACCATGCTTACTTACCAACAACCAGGGGTTAAACTACCTCTATATACACAGAAAATTGGTTACCGGGAGGTAGGTACTGAAGGAACTCGTATACGAGGGGACATACAGCTTGGAACATATGTGCCCACTCAAATCTTGGTGCAGCCCTGTGAAGCCCAGCGAGGGAATTTCCCAGTGATCTCTCAATCAAATTCTATACCTCGGTGTACTATCACTAAGCCAACTAAGCATCACAAGTGCCTCAAGATGATGGCTGACTTGGCTTGCCAGAAATATTCTGGCCTCGGCTTGCTTGCTAAGTGTCGGCTCGACTTGTGTAGAAAACGGGTATAAAGAAGTGTCATATCCCCCGCCATCAAGAACTTTTTTTTTTCCTCAACCTCACAACCCAAGTCAGAACCATCATCACCATCGGTCAACATGGCCCGCTTTGCTCTTACAGCCCTCGCTTTCCTCCTCTTGGAGGTACTGGCAGTCAATGCCGGTGACGATAACAACGACAACAGCCCCTACTACGGTGGTGACGACAACTACCCCGTCTACGGAGGTGACGACGGTGACTGTGACAATAACCCCTACAACTTCACCTTTCTCGCCGACTCCGGTGTCTTTGGTCCTCCTCTCGAGGTCGTCCACGCCTACTTTGGTGAGTGGCCCAACGGCGTGAGCGTGTCGAGCACCGGCCGTATCTTCTCCAACTTCCCCGCCATCGTGCTGGGCAACGTCAACAACGGCACGCCCGGGGTCTTTGCAGTTGCCGAACTCACCTCTCCCTCCACCGAAGAGGCCTATCCCTCTGAGGACATCAACACCCCTCCCTGCCCCGGCGGTGCCGTGAATCTGACGGACCCCGAAAATCCCGTCGGATGCGGAAGTCCGGACCACTTCATTTCCGTGCAGAGCGTCCAGGTGGATACTGAAGACCGGCTATGGATTCTTGACACGGGAAGGCCGATCTACACCTTGCCCGACGGCTCTGTGATTCTCGTAAACTCCAGCTACGGCGGGCCCAAGCTCGTCGGCGTCGATCTTTCCACCGACCTTGTGTTCCAAACCATCCTCTTCCCTGAAGACGTCGTCTTTCCTGATACGTCCTACATCGACGATTTCCGCATTGACCTGAACGCCAGCCTGTCCAACACCACCGGCGAGGGCGTCGCTTACATCACGGACACTTCCTTGTGGGGGGATAACGCCATCATCGTCGTCGACCTCGGCACCGGCGACTCCTGGCGGCGATTGGAAGGAGACCCGTCCGTCGTGGCCGAACCCAACTTCCTCCCTTTTATCTGGGGTCAACCTCTCTACTTCACTGAGGACCCCGCCAACCCGCCGGATGGCAACCTGACGACCACGACGCCCGCTTACCTCCCTGCGGGCGTGAACGGTCTCACTCTCTCTGCCGATGGCGAAACGCTCTTCTACGCCGACCTCGCGGGCAGGGACCTCTACTCGGTGCCTACCGCCCTGCTGCGCGAGCGCGACGATGCCGTCGAAGCGGAACTAGCTGCTGCGGTAGTGAACTATGGCAATACGGGATTCAGCGACGGGATGGAGACCGATCCCGAGACCGGATTCATCTACAAGGGAAGTATCGAAGCAAATGCCGTGGTGGCGTTTGATGCTGATACGGGCATGACGCAGACGGTGGTGCGGGACCCGCGGCTGGGGTGGGTGGATTCGCTCAGTGTGGCGGAGCTGGAAGATGAGGAGACGGGAGAGACGCAGAGCTGGTTGTATATCTCGAGTGATCAGTTTGATCGGTCTTGGTGGTTCTGGGCGCCCGGAGCGCACTCGGGGGATATCCAGGAGAGGCCGTTTGGGTTGTTTAGGGTGCCGTTGCCGTTGCCTGACCCTGATTGCGAATTTGCGGGTGCCTCTAACTACTAAGGTACCTCTAGGTACCTAATGGGGGAGGGACATGTTCAAGGGTGGGAAGAGAATGAAGGGAGAAAGTACGTTACCTGCACTGGGCGGATGAAGGGAGAAACCAGAATGTATTGAACCAGGCAGGAAAGGAGGACAAGAGAGGACAGTATATCGGAGGACCTCCAAGTAAACGGAGTGGATGGAACACGAATGTACCTCTACACAAGCCCAGAGTAAACGAAAGTATCCGAATAATAAACTTTGTGGTTGAAAAACAAGAAAGGCATGTATACCTAGGTACCGTCATGACTGAATCTGCTCAACAGACAGGGTGTTTGATTGTGTGATGAAGTGAGGATGTAAAGGGATGGGCGTCTCAGGCTTGAGACTGTGAGGTGATGGAGGGGAAGTTTGGTTGGAGATGTGCAATTGCAGCTTTTCTCTTCCCAAGGGTCACTAACAATTCTTACAGCGGTCTTTGAATGCCAAGAAGTCCGTACGGGGAGGTTCCGATGGATCACGGAGAAAAGTGGGTCTAGCAGTATGGTTGTTTCCATGCTTCGTTCCTGGGTTGGAAGATACCAAGAGGTAGGTACACCTATCATTGCAACGGCCGAGTATTGCTTCCCTGTCACATCTCTTGACCAAACACAGCGGAAAGAAGCATTTCCTGCCGACAAATGGGTGCCCCATGCTCTTTCTCGTATCATGGTGAGTCTTTAACTCGCTACATTTTGGTCGTGGCTGAGCTCTCGTCGTAATTTGGCAAACGGCTTCAGAGGGTCGCTAACAATTTTACAGGGCAATTACGTGGGCGGAGAGTTGCGGTTTTCGAGTTTTTTTTGTTCACTTCCACTTTCCTTCTTACAGCTTTCCAATTCTTGCACCTGGCGCTGGTAGACATCACCAGTAATCCGCGATGCCATCCTTATCGCCCCTACAGCCTTTGAGAGTCCCTTGTAACCGTTGCTCTTTCCTTTCCCCTTCCATGTCCGGCCAGCACTGATCGGCCATCGGACCCCGGAATCGGCAACTCCCCGCCATGTCCGGTGGATCGCGAAAGCCGGAAGACCTGTTGCTGTCAAGGATTGGTCTGCTAAGTCCATCCGGTGCTAACCAGTGGTGAGCATAAGCGCTACGGGAGGGCTCCATCAGCAGTCTATCGGCCTTAGCAGATGAGTCCAGGCCGATGACTCCGCCGGCTAAAAGCCTGGAGGGCCGGGACCCGGAGAGGCCGGAAACTCGGACTCCGTTCCACCAACAACGACATAACAAACAAATAAACACGGAAAAGTGAGCCCGCTACTGGATATCTGAATCCTCTTTCCACCACTCTACGTTTGTGAGGCAAACCGCCAAGATGACCATCACCCTCCGCCCCGCCACCGAGGCCGACGCCCCTTCCATCGCCCGCATCGCCACAGCCGCCTTCGCCGACTCCCTCTCTCCCCTCATCTTCCCGCGCTCCCAACTGGCCACGGCAACCGTCACCGAAGCCGATCTGACCGCCGACGAGATCACATGGCGCACGTCCATGTACATCAAGCGGATGCGTGAGGGGAAGCCATGCGTGGTTGCCGTTCAAGTTGACGAATCCACCGGTGAGGAAAAGGAAATCCTGGGTTCTGCACACTGGCAAAAGCCGGGTCCTGAGGGACCAGAGGTATTGGGGGTGGAGGTCAGGCCGGCGACGTATGACAAGGACATGTTTGCCAAAGTTGTCGAGAGGTTTACGGCGAAGGACAAGGAGACTTTGGGACCAAGGGGACATGAAGATTATTGGTGTGAGTATTGGTGGAGTTTGAGGACTAAGGAAGGGGATGAGGGCATGGACTGACGAAGAGATGGGACAGATGCAATCCTGATCAGTGTCGATCCCAAGCAGCACAGGAGGGGAATTGGTAGGAAGTTGCTGAACTGGGGGTTGGAGTACGCGAGGAAGGAGGGAAGGGATGCGTACTTGACTGCTACCGATGCCGGAGTGCCGCTTTATAAGGTTTGCGGGTTTCAGAGCATGGAGACATATGATTGCTACGGCGTGCCGCTGACGAGCATGGTTTGGAGGTTGGACAAGAACCAGCAGTGAGTGTTGAAAGGAGCAATTGCCTTGAAAATGGCTGGGGAAGATTCAAGGGAAGGAAGAAGTTATTAGGGATTGGATAAAAGGACGAAAGTGGAAAGTCTCAACAACGACGACCGCGACTTCCTCTCAATGATCGAATTCACCTCTTGGAGGAAACCGTACTCCGCAACTCAGCTTTTGGGCTTGGAGTTGCAGTCTTCGGTGGTTCCGACTTACCTCTACAAATACCTCTGCTGACGGTCCCTTCAACTTCCCTCAACTCAACGAGCTCCAACAAAGAATCCTTCTCCATCGCAACGCTTATGGCACCCCCTTTCATAACCCAGGATTCCAGATTAGGCGCCAACCTGCGCCCCTAAAAGGCACTACCCGTTCCCCATTTCGGGGATAGCCTCCCCTCTAGCGAGAATCCTTCAGAGGCCCGTTGGTTCGTTAACGCCGAGCTGGGCTGATGTTCCTTCTGCCGGAAATCGACATCAACACTTCCATCGTCCATCACGTCTTATTTATGCCCATCATCGTCTCAAACCATCGTCCCGTCTGACCTACTATGCCATGTTTGGTGCACCGGCCCGCCTCACGTTCACATGAGCATTATCGGGAGCCTTCCCAAAAATGCGAAGAAATCAGATGCTGGGGGAGAAGTATCAGTCAATTTCATGACAGCAACGAGCCTTCGGTTACCCCGGGATTCAGACCATGTTCCATTGTGGCAGCGAATGACTCGCTTTTTCTCTCGATCAATTCGGGGCCTGTTGACACTTTCAGTTCGAACGAGGGGACCATATCATCGGCGTAGCCGAGAAATCGATCGAGAAGGACTAAAGCAACCACTTTCGCAGGTTATACAACTGACAACGAAATGGGACCTTGCACGAGAGACGATGCAATGCAGCATGGTTGACAGGGTTTTTGTTCTATCCCCGGGGTCATGCCCACATGCTTCGACAACTTGACGAAACCGGGCACTGCTCGGCTTTTCTGAGCTTCTTTCCACAAGTTCCAAGCCAGCATCGCCCTACACTAATTTGAGCGGATGGAACAGTGGAAGTATTGAAGCGGTGTACCTAACAGTAGGATCTTTTCATTGGCGAAAAGCTGCCCTGGGTACACCGCGGTCAAACTGAGGGCACCCTTGCAAGCCATAGCCCTATGAGCCCTATAGGGCTAAGGACTATACACTGTGCATGCCAACAGCACTCCAGGACCTTTACCACCTTCATGACACTCAAGTCACGGCGTGCTTTGCACTGGTGGTTCTTTTCTGTATGATTAGGAATGACCTTTTGAGGTACGGATGGGGAGGCTGTCATTGAGATTTGAACCGTACCTAGGTACCTATGTACCGTAGAGCCACTTTCAGGGGGAGACTGCGTGCTGTAGTGATGACCGGACATCGCAGTTATCTCCGATCATCAACGATCACGATGACCACAACAAGAAAGAGACATGAGCACTCATACCAACCTTGACCGGTACTTAACGAGTAGATAATGGCAGTTGAAGGACTGGCAAAGAGTTGCCACCGATGAACGCGCTATCATTACCTCGAAGTCAGGTCATATTATGTTCAACTCGGAAAAAGCTACCTGCCTCAACGATAGTATCGGGGACGGCTCGCCACGCTGCAACCCTACAGTTCCAGTCCATTCCTTTGATTGTTTGAAGAAGGTTGGGGACGTCTCAGTCTTCTCGGGGGCATCATCAAGCCCCTTTTAGAGATCTAAATTGCTGCCTAATGGCCTGGTTACAGTGAACACTCGGATATTTCTCGCTACCTGGACCAGTGATAGGCAGACAACAAGAACTCCCGTGGCTATATCCACCGGCGGCTAGAGTAGCATAAGCGCGACAACGACAAGGAACAACCAGGGGTGATTTGCCCTGCTGTTCACCCTGACTGCTGGCCGCTGACCCCAAATTCTGATGTTGCCTGGTGTTGCCATCAGCCGTGCTGGGCGGTAAGACAAGACTTCTACTAGAAGAAAGCAACAGACCGGACAAGCCGGGGTGCATGATACTTGTACGCCATCAAGAAAAAGACAAGAGTGGGTGAGACTTCCTACGCCCGCAGTGCAGTGGTGCCACGGTACCCCCCCTTTTCTTCCAGTCTTTGTCCCATGTCCAGCCTCCCCACCCCAGCCACGGCAATTGCTTGACATGTCATCATTTAGTCCACGCCTGGAGCCGCAAGTCTCCGATTTGGGTCCCTAAGTCAGAAATGGGGCCGGAGCTTGATCAATTTCTAAGTTCTTGAACGTCTCACTCTGCGGAACACTGGAGACATGAGCTGCGTGATATCATTGCCTGGAAGGTCGACAAAGCTGTTAACTGACACTCTGATGGAGTCAGCTCTTGACTCGTTGTTGGGGTATATGTCTCGACAACAATCACCTGAACCCTGCAGCACAAAATGATGAAAACTTCAAGTCATTCTAGGCATTGTCTACATGTACGGTTTTCACAACAGAAACACCTGGATCACGACATCTATGAAGCCTCTTGAGACCTTCAGCATCAACAAGGATGAACAAGAAAAAGTCCAATCAAACGACAAAATGGGGAACTGCTTGCGCCCAATGTGCTGCAGCCAAAGCAAAGTGCTCTCGAACGTCCGAGACACGAGGGTCCAAGTGTGACAGATGCGAGGGGTTGCTCAAGACCTGTACGAAACGAATACAGGGACCCAGGAAGCAGAGACAGTCAAGGACAACAAGGTTTGTTTCCATTACCCTTGGGCATTCACCATGATCTACCCTCGGTGCTCTCTAACCGCCTTGGCTTCCCTTCAACAGGAAAGAATAGGCATCTTCTTCCCTCTACGTTGACACCGACGGCTCCCTTTCACCTCCTTCCACTACATCAACCACAGATTTCACATCAACATCAATCGGCAACCTCGTTGCGGACATATCTCTGCAACAGGCCCCGTTAAGAAGCGCGACCTCATCACCCTTACTCTCTATAACCCTCTTCCCACCTCCCGCTCCTGGGACATCCGTTCCAGCTCTCGATACATGAACCTCCAAAATTGTCTAGGTATGCTCCCCATCAAGTCCTACTGCAGATGAAGACGCTGTGCAAACGTTCCTGACCAAAATCCAACCAAGTTTCCCGTTTATATTAGTTCCAAATAACGTGGATAGTCAAGCGTTGGCAGTGGAGAGGCCGGTGCTCATGTCAGCGATCCGCCTTGCGGCTGCCACCACTTTCACTGCCACGACAAACGTGTCAGAGTCAACGCTACTAAGTCAGGTATATCAGTTTGTCAACCATGTCTCGAGCATGGTGATGCTGAGGGGAGAGAGCACCCTAGAGATTCTGATGGCAGCTGTGATGGTGCTTGGACGGTGGAGATGGTGGTGTGAACAGCATAGAGGAGGGTTTGACAGTCTGTTAGGGATAGCGAAAGGGTTGGTCAAGGACTTGGGACTCAACCGCAACCCGAGGCAGACCCAAGAGAAAGAGGAGAGGGTAACTGATATTGAGAAGAGATTATTACTCGGAGTATGGTATTTACGGTCATGGTATGTCTTCCTTTCGTTGCTTCGATTCCCTTCTCCCATTAAGAGGGTACCCGGCGGGGTATTCACGGGTTGTAGAAAGCTGGATGCCCAGAACAGCTAATAGGAGATGACCAACAGCGCCGCAATACATCTATCCCAGCTCTCACCAACAGCCTTCACGCCTTACATGTTCCAATGCCTCAAAGATCTGGAAGTGTCGAGCCAGCCTTCCGACCAAGTGCTCGTTCAAGCCGTCAAAGTCCAACATCTTGAGGAGAGAATACAAAAACTGAACGACGATTTACCCAGTTTCGACCCAACAGAAGACGAAGCAAATATCGCAAGAATTATCGGCTTGAGGAACGACTGGGAGTTGTTGAGCCGGAGCTCTCCCGAGCTGATGCACAATCGTGAGTCTTTGTTGTTGTTTTCTTGCGCATGAGCCTTACACCACCATCCCAGACCTGTATTCCTGTCACATCAACGAGAAATACATACGGTAGTATGAGCTCAAATCATCCTCCAACTCTTCTTTCCTATTATCAAGACCGAAAACACAAACAGCTAACAACCACAAAAGCATTGGTAGCCTCCCACCTCCAAACGGCCTTCCTCCGCCTCCACAAGTTTCTAGTAGAGCAGACTTCCCACATACATCCACATCTATCAAGCCCGGCCCCAATCCCTACCTCTAATTTGCTCTTAGCTTCAGAAACTGGGTCCTCCTCCTTTCATACCTCTACTACCTCTACAGACTCGGAGTACATGTATCAACACTATGAGTTGGATTTTGATGTGGATGTTGACATGGCTTGCCCACCAACTCACGGGATGCAGTACGGTAGCCATAATCAGAGTCAGGGCTATAGACAGCAGATGCTAGAGCAGCAGTGGGCTGCGGCAGGAGCACAACGATGGCGGGAAGAGAATGCAGGTGCGGTGTTGTTTTGGGGGCAGGAACATCATGTGCAACAGATACATGGACTGCATGAGTGCCAGGGATAGGGACATGGAGGTTGGGGGCAGGGGAGGTGAATATAACTTGGCAGTTGTCATACGGACATTCGACCCCAACCCTAACCCTGCAGATCAGCGGCAGAGCCGCATTACGTAACCTCAGCCTCACGATACGTTTTCAGCCTTAGGTGCCTTAGGCAATAATATAATACTACGACCCAATCGGATAGATTATTCAACCGACGGTATAATATACCCGGAATCCCTTTATAAGATTAGCTAAAGCTACGATTAGCGATTAAGTTAGTCCTCTAACTTCTCTATACTGGTTAAGATTAAACGAGACCGGGGAACGAACCCTTATCGCTATAGTAACGCTTTATAATTAATTAAGTTAGCGCTATTAATATCCTTAGTATAGAAGGATAGGAGATTAGAAGAAGGTATTTAGAAAGATCCGTAGGGACGTATAATAATATTTATTACTAAATAAATACTTTATAGCTTTATAATAGAATTAGGTAAATAGGATTTATATATATTACGAACTTAAGCGATACAAGGGTCGCCTAGACCCTCGGGACGCGATAGCCCCGCCTATAGATAGCCAGTATAACCTACAAACTAGGGAATAGCCTAGAAGGGCGTAGTAGGTAATTTACTTATATAAGTAGCTTACTAGTAAACTAGTGCTTATAATAAACTAATATTTACGGGTGAATTAAGGTTTATAGTAAACTATAATACTAAAATAAACTATTAATATAAATTACGAGGTTTATAATTATATAAATAATTAAAGATAGATATTTTATAGTAGGATAAGTAGGTATAAAGAGACTACTAGAGAATTTAAATTATTAAATAATTTGATAATAGTTAATATAATAGATTATTATTACCGAGACTAATATTACGTATATATATTTATTATAAACCTTTTAACTTTACTAAATAGTATTAATAGTTTTTATATTTTTAATTATTTTATTTAAGTAAATTAAATTACTGTTCGTTATATATTAATTACTCCCTTTAGCCTATCTTAAATAGTAATTAAAGGTATCTCTTCGCTTTATTATATCTACCGCCGGAAATAATAACGATAATACTTTAGGTAAACCCTTAAATTTTGTTACCTTCCAATAGTAGTTTAAAACTATATAGGAATGTATTTTCTAATTTAAAATTTAATTCAAAGTTAAATCCGGTACCCCCGAAGTAAAGGTAGGAGAAGGAATTACCTTTATTAATAGACCAAAATTAAATTATCTGTACTTAAAGAATTTAATAATTAATAGGCTGCCTTAATAGGATTCTTAATTTAAATATATACTTACCTCTACTTTTATAAAAATCAGTTTACCTTTAAATTTAAGAAAGTAATTTATACGGGTACTTAATTTATAAATAAAGTTTTTACTTAGTACGAACTTATTTTTAAAGACTACTATAAGAATGGAGATTAAACTTCGGATTTTACTAAGAAACTTTTAGGTTTTTATAAAGAATTTACTTAAACCCTCTTCTAAATCTTTAGAAAAAAGGATAAAATTCGTAGGGTTTAGGAACGCTTAATTTATTTTTAATAAATTAAATTTACTTTAACTTACGCTATACTTTTTAAATAAAATACTTTCCGTAGTAATATTAATAATAATAGGCTAATATAGCTATTTTATAATAGTTTTAAAGAAAGAATTAAGGATAAACTCTATAAAGAGGATTATTTTGAGACTATTAACGTTTATATCGATAAAATTATTTATATTAATAATTGATTATTCTAGTGGGAATAGGAGAAGAAAGGAAAAGTAATTATCTTCGTTCCTTTTAAATCTAATTCTAATACTAAAAAGAAAAGGATATAAGGAACCTACTTTTCCGGAACTATTTATACTAAAATTATAGAAATTAATACGGCCTAAATTAATTAAAGTAAATAAAACCTTTTAAAGGTTAAATATTTTAATTATAGTAAAATTAAGTATATAAAAAAAAATTATTATATACTTAAATAATTAAATTAGAAGAAAATAGAAATTGTTGTAGTAGAAGGAGTTAAGGTAATTAAAATTACTAACGCCGAATACGGTTAAAATAATTTAGAAAATGCTATAAATAGAATTATAAACTTCAATTAAGAAGTATAATAGGAGGCTAATAATAAATATAAATAGGAAGGATTTAATAAGGAAAACCCTAAGGAGGAGGTGTAGAATACTAATATACCCTAAATATAAATATACTAAGCCTTAATATAGGAAGAAATTAATTACTTTCCTAATACCGATCGGATTTTCTTTATAGCTATATACGTAATAAATACTACTCTACCCTTAATTCCACTTTTAATAATTATAATTAAGGAACCTAATACGTACAAATTTATTAATCTATATTAATATAATTATTTTAATTACTTCGCCGAAGGATATTAGATAGAATTATTATAATTCTATTTAAATAAAAGTAGGAAGTACAAATTATGAAATAATTCTTAGAAGAAGCGTATAATTATTATTAAAAGGGAGCCCTAAATTATTTAGGAAGGACTCTTAGAAATTTTAGGAATATATTAGTTAAATAAAAAGAATACGGCCCAAATATACCCCCTTTATTATATTTACTACCGGATATTATAATTCTAATGTATTACTAATAATTATTATAAATACTATAGGAAAAAGTGGAATAACCGTTTCTAACCTATTCGAAAGTTCGACCAATAAAAATAATTTAAGCTAATTACGCGTACCTTTAATTAAAATAACTTAGAAATTACCCTTATTATAAATAAATAATTTATATTTAATTTACGGTCCTTTATATAGGTAAACGATTAATTAGTATTTAGGAGATTCGTTATACGCTTCTATAATATTTATACCTATTTAAAATAAGGAGAAGTAAATCCCTAGTAATAATAGTACCTAATATTTAATTATTTTATTTATATAAAGTAGAAGGCCTAAAATATTGAGAGGGAATTTAATAATTACCTTCATAGTATTAAAATAATTAAATATAAAAATAAAGAAGAAGCCGTATATATAATATAATTATAGGAATATAATTCGTTAAACGAATTTAAATTTAAAGAAGAGGACGCTTATAGTAATTATTACTAGGAATTAGGAAACGGCTTAAGGCCTTCAAAAAGGCTTAGTAAAAATTAAATCCCTATATAAAATAGATTATTTAATAATATAACTATTAGAAAGATAAGATCCGAAACCCTATAATATTTATAGAGGTCGCTGCTATAGAAGAAGGGAAAGAGGATTAGTAATTTAAAATTATAGCCTATTAGAAGGATTATTAGGCTTTTATATTAGTAAATTCTAGAATTTAATTAAACTTTATTTTACTAAAGTTCGTTACTTAATTAAAAATTCCTTAAAAAAAGGAAAAAGGTTCCTTTTATAGTAAAAGGACCTTTCGAGATATAAATTATAAAATAAGAAATATTACTACTCTCTATTATAGTAGAAAGTAAGACAGTCGAAATTAATTTCAATATTATTAAAATAGGGCTATTTAAAAATATAATCCTAGGGTACCTATAATATATTATATATATTTTAAATATTAATTAGAAGGAAGGTAGCTACTTACGTCCTAGGACGTACTTAATTACTAATAGGAAAATTGGAGTATAGAAGAAAGCGAACTATAAAAGCGCTATTCCTATAGCCCTACCGTAAATAGTATAAAAAATTATAATTTATACTATTGATAAAAGTAATAAAGTTATAAAAGAAGGGTTAATAACGTTAATAGAAGTATTAATAGTTAACGTTTAATATAAATTTAATTATTATTAGAATTAATAAATAGAGAAGCCGAAGATTGTAATTCTAATAGAATATTAAAGATATTAAACTTTTATTAATAAGTATTTTAAAAGACTACTACTATAAGGATTATAGGATTATTAATTTAAATTTAAGAAAGGAGTTAAATTTAAATTCTTTAAAGTATACTATACTAATAAAAAGTAGAATATAGAATTGAGGAAATATTTAGACGAAAATTTAAAATAAAGATATATTTGGGAATTTATATTACTAGTAGGGTACCCTATTTTCTTCGTACTGAAGAAGGATAGAAAGCTACGCCTTTATATTAATTATAAGTAATTAAATTAAAAGATTATAAGAAATAATTATCCCCTACCCTTAATTTTATATATTTAAAATTAATTAAGAGGAGTATAATACTTTATACGCTTTAATTTACCTATTGCCTATACCTATATTCGAATTAAGGAAGGAAATAAATAGAAGATAGTATTTTATATACCCTACGGATATTACAAATATTTTATTATACCCTTCGGGTTAATTAATATACTTACAATATTCTAATCCGTTATTAATTATATAATTCGACCCTACTTCAATAAATTCACTTTTTACTATTTAAATAATATCCTTATTTATTTTAAGATTTTTATAGAGTATAAAAAATATATAAAAAAAGTATTAAATATACTATACGAATATAAATTCTCTATTAATATAGAGAAAAGCGAATTCTATGTAAGGGAAACCGTATTTTTTAAATATTTAATTTTAGAGAACGAAATTAGAATAGAACTAAATAAAATAAAAGTTATACGGAATTGGCTTATACCTAAGAATGCAATTAAAGTCTACGGATTTTTAGGGTTTATTAATTTTTACTATATACTCATACGGGACTATAGGAAGATTGTTAATTTATTATACGAATTTACTAGGAAGGAGGTTATTTTTATATAAGGAAAGGAGGAAGAAAAAGCTTTTAAAATTATTTATAATATAATTACCGTAGACCCTATATTAAAATTTCCTAATTTGAATAAACTTTTTAAAATTAAAACCGATATATTGGACTATGCTATTAAAGGACAATTAGGATAATACAATAAGTATAGGAAATTATACTCTATAATTTTCTTTTCTAAAAAGTTGGAAGGACCCTATTATAATTATCCTATTTATAATAAAGGATTCTTAATTATTATTAAAGTATTTTAAAAATAGAAGCTATACTTTAGTAGAATTACATATAAAGTACAAATTTATATTAACTATAATAATCTTCAGTATTTTATAACTATAAAAGTATTTAATAATTATTAAATATATTAGGCCTAATTCTTATTAGAATTTAATTTTAAAATTAATTATAAAAAGGGTTTAAAGAATGCTCGGGCAAATACTTTAAATTGTCGGACAAATTATATAGAAAATATAATAGAAGCTTTTATATTATAATCTTAAAAATAATTAAATAAAATATTTCTTCACCCTTTATAGAAATAGGTAGAATACTATATTATTTACCGGGTTAAATTATAGGACTATAATTATTAAACTGCTATTATAATTTTGGAAGAGCGATAGAAATAGGAGGATAGTATAAAAGAAGGGATCGTCCTCTAGAGTAATAAACTATAGTATTATAATAAGGCCTACATTTAGCCCGAATAATATAAAACGTTTATTATAAGGATATATATATTTAAAATAGAAGAATATATAAGTATTATTAAAATTATAATACGGATATAATAATATTATAATTTTCTAAGAATAAAAACCGAAGTAGCTTAAATATTATAAGCCTATAAATATTATAGTAAAACTAAGGTTATAAAATATAAGCTATATAAATTCCTTAAACCCTTAAAAGTTATAGAAAGGCTATAGAGCTTGGTAATTATAAATTTTATTACTAAATTTCTACCGTCTATAAATATTATAATGAAAGTTATTTATAATAATATCCTAGTAATAATAGATAGGCTAATTAAATAGAATTACTTTTTACTATATAAAGAAATATAGTTAGTAGAATAATTTGTAAATATAATTTATTAGAACGTTATATTAGTATATAATTAGCCGAAGGAATAAATTATAAATAGGGATACTAAATTCGTATTTAAATTTCAATAAATATCAATAACCAAATTCGGTACTAAAAGTAAGATATTAATAGTATATTACCTATAAATAAATAAATAAATAGAAAGGATTAACCAAATTGTAGAATAATATTTAAAGAACTATATTAACTTCGAGTAAAGCAATTAGGTAGAATTACTATTAATAATACAATTAATATATAATATTTCCTCTATAAAGATTATAAAGGTTTTACCTTTCTTTGTAAACTATAGGTATAAATTAAAATTCTTGGAAGGATTAAATACGAATGTCCCTAGGGCTTTAGTTAAAGCTGGAAAATTATATATATTATATAAGAAACTTAAGGAAGAATTAGAATTCGTTCGATAAAAAATAAGCCGGTATTTTAATTTCAAAAAGTTTAAGGGACTTTATTTTAAGGAGGGGGATAAAATCCTTTTATAAATTAAGAATTTTAAGATTAAACGATTTAATAAGAAATTTAACGATCGACGAGTAGGACCTTTCAAAATTAAGAAGAAGATTTTTAATATAGTATATTAATTAAATATTTCTAATACTATAAGACTAAAATTATATTTATTTTATATTGTATTATTAGAATTAATATTTAAAAATGTATGAGTTAATATGCAAATTAATATTAAGGACGAGGAAAAAGAATAGAATATAGAACAAATTTTTGATTTAAGAATAGAGAAAGGAGAATCAAAATACTTTATTAAGTAGGAAGGGTTCGGTCCCGAAAATAATATTTAGGAACCCGTTAAGAATTTAAATTATTTTAAAAAGCTAAAGGAATTTCGTTAGAGGAATTCGAATCGATTAAAGATAGAGGATTACCTAATTAAAAAGTAGGGAAGGCCGAATTATTTAAAGATAATTAATCTATAGGTACAATAGAAATAGAAGCTTCTAATAATAGTATTGTAAATAGAAGTTTAGGCTCCCTCCTAATAGCCCTATCTTCTTTATTCTAAATATTTAATTTAGTTTCTATAATCTAAATTACTTTACGGGCCTTTATAACTAATTCCTCCTACTACCGCTAAACTTCGGCCAAATAAGGCGTATAATCTTATATTGCTTTTATAAATACTACCTACTCCTATTTTAATTTTTTATTCTCTATAACTATTCGTACTACTAAAGGAGCGTTAATAAAAACAACTAATAATTAGGAGTTCGGATATTCACACTCTATATTATTATCCTAACCCTTACAAGGACGAGTACTATAAATGTACTTACTATACTTCTCTCGTCCTAGAAGCTTTTTATAAATAAGTTTACGGTTGGAATAATATTAGTAAAGTATAATTATAAAACTAAAAGATTCAATAGTAAATAATAATTACTATTATCAAATAAATAACGTAATTAAACGCTTAATAATAGGGTTAAATATAGTAATAAGTAAAGAAGGATTTACTATACCCAAGCAATAAAGGGAATAATATAGAGATAAAGAGTAAAAAAGGAATACGAATAATTAGTAAAATTATTAAGGACGTTAGCTAAGGAGAGGAGGTATTATATTACGAATTTAAACGATATAAGGGCCGCCCAAACCTTTAGGACGCGATAGCCCCGCCCGTAAATAGCTAATATAATCTATAAACTAGGGAATAGCCTAAAAGAGCGTAATAGGTAGCTTACCTATATAAGTAACTTACTAGTAAACTAGTACTTATAGTAAACTAATACTTACGGGTAAACTAGGGCTTATAGTAAGCTATAATACTAGAGTAAACTATTAATACAAATTATAGGGTTTATAACTATATAAACAACCGAAGACAAATATTTTATAATAGGACGAGTAGGTATAAAGAGACTACCTAGAGAATTCAGATTATTAGATAGTTCGATAATAATTAATACAATAAATTATTATTACCGAGACTAATATTACGTATATATACTTATTATAAACCTTTTAACTTTACCGAACAGCACTAATAGTCTTTATACCTTCAACTATCTCACTTAGGCAGATCAGACTGCCGTTCGTCACAATATACGTACTAATTAGAAGGAGGAAGATTTTAGTATAAGAAAATTATTAAGCTTAATTAAACGGAAAGGGCTTAAAAGGATTAATAAGGCCTTCGAGATTAAAGTAATTTATTAATTAAATTAAACTACTATTTTAAACTTAAAATATTACCCTTATTATAAATAAACTACTTCCCTTTTAAATTAATATTACTATCTAATTCTTTACCTATTATAGCTTCCCTTTAAAATATTTTTATACCTTCTATTGAAGCTCTAGCCCTAACTTTCTACTAACCCGAATAATTTAATATTATTATAGAGGGAACCAGCGAAACGTTCCTTCGGAGCGCTATTTAAGTTACTAATCCCCCTTAATAACTTATTACCCTCTACAATTAATTTATATTCGCTTATAATTAAGTACGCAAAATCGCTTTCGTAGTAGGTACGGAATGTACTAAAGATTTTACCGCCCTTAAAGGATAATATAATACCCTAAGCGAATAATATATTATTATTACTAATATTTTTAAAAATAGTATAGAGGTCTCTTAAACCTCTATTACCCGGTTTGAATAATAAATTTAGTAAATTGTTAGCCGGTTTACTAACGAAGTTTAGGGAGTTATAATCTAATATAGTTAGTAGGATAAAAAATACGAATAGGTTATTCGTAACCTTTAGGAAGCTATTTAATAATAATAGAAGGCTTTAGGAATTTTTAATAATCGAACCCTCCGCTAGTAGTTTATCCTTAATTATATAGATACTTAGGCTAATATTAAGGAAGTTTAAATTAACGATATTTTTAATAAATTAATTGACCCGGACTAAATTAAGGGGCTCGAGGAATAAATTACCTAATTTGCTACCTTCTAATAAAGTATTTAAAAAGTTATCTAGAATACCTTCAAGCGTATAAATTAACCAACTCCTAATATAATATCCGTTACTTTAATTATTTATATTTTCGAATAATACGCTACTATACATTTCCTATTAAATTCTAGCCGGGCCTTACCTCTTAATTAGATTATAATTAATTATTCCTTAGGAAATAAAGCGATCTTTTGTATATAAATTAGAAGATAATTTTGCGAATTTACCGCCTAATACAAAGCTATTTAACCTTCTCCCTTCGGAATTATTATTAGGTTTGGCTGAAGAGGAGGAAGGGGCCCTCTAGAACCCCCTTATTATACTTACTTTATAAGGCTTTCTAATAATTTAAGAAGGGAATACGCTATCGAATTCCTTAATAGTTTAGGAAGTATAATTACTATTAATATAGCGCTCCTTTAGTTTAATAAACTTATTTTCTATAATAGAAAGGATTTATTAAAGTTCTATACTTAGTAGTATTAAATCGAAACCTATATTAACGTTTATTATACTAACTTTACCCCCGATATTCATTATATTAACTAGATAGGATTATACTTTAAAGATAATACCTAGCTTTAGTACTAGTAGAGGGTCCGAACAATTAAATACATTAATTTTACCGATTTTTAGGATAAGTATATTAAAGCTATTTAGATATATTTTACTAACGTATTAAAATAATACTAAAATATAAAGAAAATAATGGAATTTAAGTATAAAGAAGATATTATTTACTATATTACAATACTCTTCGATTTTAACGAAACTATATATTAGTTAAGGATAGTCTTTTGTAATTATATTTATTGTAACCTACTTTCGAAGATTGTTAAAATAATATATTAAAGTTGTAGCCGGGTTCCAAATTCCGATAACGAATTCTTTAGCGCTATATAAAAAGTAGATCGAATTTACGAAAATATATTTTAAAACTCGGGGTATAT